CTCTCTCTCTCTCTCTCTCTCTCTCTCTCTCTCTCTCTCTCTCTCTCTCTCTCTCTCTCTCTCTCTCTCTCATATGCGCAGGTTGCCGGCGGGACCCCCTCGCCTCACAGCCGGTGACCTCTCGGCCGCATTGTCACACGCACACAAGTCACGAAACCATGGGAGCCGTAACTGCCCATACACAAAATTGCGGTATTGCGCAACACGGTCGCGGACCAAGCAGTGCAGCAGCAGTATAGACACATGAAGCAGTCCACCGCCTCAGCCTCAGGGCGTCGGCGGAAGCGTGGCAGAGGGTCGCGCGGCGCAGTCAGGGGCGGCAGCAAACGAAGGGCGAGCACAAAAAGGCAAGCTCAATCACCAAGGGGGCTCCAGGCGCATGGCCCCGGGGGCGCCACTGGCCCGTCGTGCGCGTGTTGTGCGCCTCGGGGCAGGGGCATTGGGACGCGAAACCGCCGGAGCGGCTGCATGTAGCCCTTGATGTGGGCAGCCTCTAGCCCTCCCTGCGCTGCTGCTGCTGCTGCTGCTGCTGCTGCTGCTGCTGCTGCTGCTGCTGCTGCTGCTGCTGCTGCTGCTGCTGCTGCTGCTTCCGCCGCTGCCGCCACCTCTGTTTTTGTGTCGGCGCAGCCGTCAACCCCGCAGCCACTGCCGCCAGCCGTTTCTGCTTCCGCCGCTGCCGCCGCTTCTGTGTTTGTGTCGCCGCCGCCGCCAACCCCGCAGCCGCCGCTGCCGGCCGTTCCTGCTGCTGTTGCTGCTGATGCTGCTCCTGCCGCTTCCGCCGCCGCCGCCGCCTCTGTGTTTTTGTCGCCGCCACCACCAACCGCGCAGCCGCCGCCACCAGCGGCCTAGGGTTTAGGGTTTAGGGTGCCTCAGCGAGGGTGGCAGCTGATTTGTCCTCGTCTGCATCCATGAGGGCCGCTACCTCCCCATTCATGGCGATGCCGTCTCGGGGACTACGTCCATGCTGGCTGTGACCCTTGGCACGCCCTCACCTGCTCGTCACGTCATCGTGGTCCCCGGCCTGCTCGTCACATCCATCGCCACACACTACAATTGTAGTCGGGAGACGGCCACCCGGGGAGCCACTGTAGCCGCTCACCGCCGAGTCGCCGGGCTGCAACGGCAAGGCCGTCAGCCACAAGGCATGCGCGGATAGGAAAAGGCGTGGGGG